TTTTTTTTTTTGAGACAAAGTCTCACTTCGCTGCCCTGGCTAGAGTGCTGTGGTATCATAGCTCACTGCAACCTCAAATTCCTGGGCTCAAGACTCAGACTCCTTAGTAGCTGGGCCCACAGGCACCTGCTGCAATGCCCGGCTAGTTTTTCTCTTTTTAGTAGAGATGGGGTCTCGCTCTTGCTCAGGCTGGAGCTCAGGTGATCCACCTGCCTCAGCCTCCCAGAGTGCTAGGATTACAGGCCATAGCCACCACACTGGCCCACATTGTTTCTTAGGGACATATTAGCATTTCCTCAAGGAAAACCTGCTGTGCTCACCCCTGGGAGGGGTTTAAGGAAGGTGCCCAAAGGGAGTGGTGATCTGGAAGGCCTCAGTCCTGACACATGGGCCCCTGCCCTTTTTCTTTCTTTCTTTTTTTTTTTGAGACAGAGTCTCACTATGTCACTCTCGGTAGAGTGCCATGGGGGCGTCACAGCTCACAGCAACCTCAAACTCTTGGGCTCAAGCAATTTTCTTGCTTCAGCCTCCCTGGTAGCAGGGACTACAGGTAGCTAACACAACGCCTGGATATTTTTAGAGATGAGGTTTCACTCTTACTTAAGCTGGTCACAGACTCCTGAGCTCAGGCAATCCACCCGCCTTGGCCTCTCAGAATGCTGGGATTACAGGCATGATGACCCCTTGTGCTTTTTCTCAAGGGACCTCACTACCACCCCTCCCCCCAACCCTGAGAATGACAATATCATCCTCAATTTTTTTTTTTTTCAGTTTTTGGCCAGGGCTGGGTTTGAACCCGCCACCTTTGGCACATGGGGCTGGTGCCCTACTCCTTTGAGCCACAGGCACCGCCCCTCATCCTCATTTTTTAAAAGCTGAAGTGAAATTCATACCACATACAATTTACCATTCAGAGTATACAATTCAGTGGCATCTGGTACTTTCACAGTGCTGTGTGGCCATCACCTCTTCTAGTTCCAAGATATTTCATCACCACAAAAGAAACCTCTGCACCCTCAGGCAGCCCCTCCTGGAAAGCCCCAGTCTGTTTCCTGTCTCTGTGAGTCACCTGTCACCTGTCAGATGCCGGCTTTCCCTTAGTGTAATGTTTTCAAAGTTCACCCGCATTGCAGCAGAGTCAGAGCCTCGCGCCTTTTTCTGGCTGAGTAATACTCCGTTGTTCGGAGGGACCACAGCTTGCCCACCCATTCACCTAACTGTGGCATGTGGGCTGTGCCTCCTGCTGCTGTGAGCATGCCGGGCAGTGTTTGTTGAGCACTGTCCTCAGTTCCTCTGGGTGCCCGGCTGGGATAGCTTATAGCTGTGACCCTTTGAGGAACCCCAAACTGTTTTCCACACCAGCTGCACCATTTCTTTCTTCACTTTACAAAGGACAAGATGCAGCCTCAGAAGCTGCAGTGCTCATACCTGGGGCTCCCTCTTTCCAGAGTGTTCCACTCTTCCCCAACCTACTACCTCCAGGAGTCCTGCCCTGGCCTCCCAGTGTCAGTCTGCTCCACTGCCCTCCCTGCACCATCTCCTACTGGAGGCAGGGCCCTGCCTGCTTGTTCATAGGTTTATCCCTAGGCCAGAAACACAGTGACAGTCTCCCAATGCTTGTTGTGTCACTGGCCTGAGCCTCACAGCCAGGGCTGGGGTCTTTCCTGGGCCTCCATCATCTCTGCCACCACCCCGCTGTGCAGCTTGAGGGGAGTCACTCTGCCTCTCTGTGCCGGTAGGTGAAGGCACAATGTTAGGGCCCTAGTTTCAGCCTGCTGATCAGTGGTCCCCAGACAGCCAATGCAGGGGCTCTGGTAAATACTCCCCATCCTTAGAAAGGCCCTTAGAGCTCGTGCCCTCTGACCTGGGGTGGTGTAGCAGCAGCAGGCCAGGTAGTACCCCAGGGCAGGTTCAGAGTCCTCAGGAAACCAGTACCTCTGCCCCTGGCTTCCCTGGTGTCAGGTGACTTCAGTGACCCCAGTGAGGTCACAGCACCTGTAAGCCCATCTTCAGTGACAGCGAAGACAACACCAGAGGTGTTGTTTGGTGGCAAAGCTCACAAATATCACAGCAGAGATCCAGGTTTGAGTCCCAGCCTCACAGGGCAGTGCCTGTGGCTCAGTGGATAGGGTACTGGCCCCACATACCAAGGGTGGCAGGTCCAAACCTGGCCCTGGCTAAACTGCAACAAAAAAATAGCTGGGTGTTGTGGCAGGTGCCTGTAGTCCCAGCTATTTGGGAGGCTGCGGCAAGAGAATCACCTAAGCCCAAGAGCTAGAGGCTGCTGTGAGCTGTGATGCCACAGTACTCTACTGAGGGCAACAAAATGAGACTCTGTCTCTAAAAAAAAAAAAAAAAGAGACAGAGCTCACAGACACCCACCTCCCAGAGAGGGCCCAGCACAGTGCCTGCAGGGTGATCCACTGTCCCAGGTTGCAGGGACAGAGGGTTTCCCAGGACACAAGAGATTCAGCAAACTGGTCACGTTGGTCCCCCCAGTGCCTGATGCACCAGAAGGGCTGGATTAAGTGTGGGGGTTAAATGCAGCCTGGCACCGGGCGCTTTCTTAGACCACCTGTGCTGTGCTCATCAGAATGACTGGCTCTCTCAACTGCCCTTTCTCCGAAATGGAAAAAAAGAAAAGACCTTAGGAAAGAGACATGATACATGATGTTCACTGTAAAAAAAATTTACAAAGCAGAAAAAGAAAGTTAGTGTTTAAATCCTCTGTCATAATAAATAAATAAATAAATAAAATCCCCCGCCATCCTGCCACTCAGAGGTAGGCGTGGTTCTAGAACCTGCTATCCATGTGCAGGGTGTAGATTTAAAAGAAGCAGAGGCTCGGCACCTGTGGCTCAATCGGCTAAGGCACCAGACACATACACCTAAGGTGGCGGGTTCGAATCCCCAGCCTGGGCCCGCCAAACAACAATGACGGCTGCAACAGAAAAATGGCCGGCGCTGTGGCGGGCGTCTGTAGTCCCAGCTACTTGGGAGGCTGAGGCAGGAGACTCGCTTGAGCCCAGGAGTTGGAGGTTGCTGTGAGCTGTGAGGCCATGGCACTCTACCCAGGGGGATAGCTTGAGGCTCCGTCTCAAAAAAAAGAAAAAAAGAGAAGCAGAAACACACTTTACAAACTCTGTTCAGGGACCTGCTCCTGCCTCCTGTGTTGTAAGGCATAGGGGTGTGCCTCACCGCAGGGGCTGAGCCCTTGAGCTTGCTCCAGAGGAGGCGTCCTCAGCTGCTCCACTCAGTCAGGACATCTGTGTCAGCACAGCCACGTCCCTCCAGACACACCTCCCCAGTTACCTCCTGGCAGTTAGCTCAGAACTCAGCCTCTCCCTTTCCTGCCCGCTGTGGGGTTGCTGCTTGCAGTCTGGCCTCTGCTGGGCCTCGCCTCTCACTAGCTACCAGGTTGGCCGAGGGCCGCTACACAAGGGCCCACCTAGGAAGTAGGTGTGCAGAGAAGCTGCTGCCGAGGTAGGAGGAGATTGGGGGACAGAGAAGACCTTGTTCTACACCTGAGGGCCAATGCCACAGCAACCTGTTCCCAGAGCTAGGTCCTCCCAGGGAGGCAGCTGGGAGGTACATGGCCCACCAGCCTGTGTGCTGCTGACCACCCACCTGGATTCTGGGGGAGATCACAGTTCCAGCAGGAAAGAGTAACGGGGAACTGCCAGGTACCCAGGGTAAGTGGGAACCAGAGGAAGCAGCAGATGAGGCCAGGCTAAGAGAGGACAGCTAGCCCCCTCCAGCCAAGGAAGCCTCTTTCACCCAGAAACCCCCCAAGATGGCCCTGGGACAGGCCCCTCCACATGGGGAGGGGGCTCCAGAGTGATAGTGGGTTCAAGCCTTGCTGGGAGGGGCTTTGAGGAGGGTGCTGGTGCTTCTGGCCTGGGGAGGGGGTTGACCCTGCTCACCAAAAACAAGTTTTTCCACCTCTGGGAGTCTTGCCCTGCTCAGCTGTAGCACGGCATCACAGGATGGAGTGAGCTAACGATGCCTGGCAGCCATGGTCAGGTTGCTGCCCTCTCTAAGTCCTGGCCAGGCCAGGTCTGGGGACAGTGTGAGGCCTTCTGACCCTAGAGGCTGGTAGCCTCAGGCAAGTGCCTCAGTGAAAAGGTTTTCTCTAAGGTTTCACCAGGATTTAAATTATCTGGCCCACGTCCTGAGACCTCCATCACCCGTGGCGAAGTCAGAGAGGCTGGGGCCAGGCCAGGGTCACCAGTGCTGGTGCATAGGTTCTGGCCAGGATCTGGGTGCCAGAAGGGCCGCAGACTTGACGGGGTGGTTAATGTGGACCAGGATTGGGCCTCAAGGTAGGTCAAAGTCTGACACTAGCCACTGGAAGGCACAGGCCATCTGTCCTACTGGCAACCAGTTTCTTAGCTGATAACTGGGGCTCAGCGGCTGAATAGTGTAAAATCTGCTTTCCTGATGCAAGTGCCCTGTGGG